GTGACTGCCGCCCTGCCGATGCCCTTTGAGGCCTGACTTGTCTGGAGAAGACACGGGGAGTCAGGACATGGGTAAACACTGTCCTCTGCTTCCCTGTGAAATAGCAAACCCAAAGACCCTGGAGCAGCATGGCCTCAGACGGCCACCACTGCGCGGGGCCAGTGTAGTCCCCGCCCGGGGTCGGCACGCAGTCAGCGGCCCGGGAGCCGTGCAGAGAACTTCGGCCAAGGGCCTGCAGTTTCCTGTGACAGCAAGGGGCCACGACACCATGGAAAATCTTCTCTGGAGGCAGGTCCTGGGAGGGAGGGCAGTTGTTCAGGGCCGTGCAGGGCAGCTTGCAGGGGTGCTGAGCGCACACAGTAGCAGGCCAGCACCAAGCTCAAAGCCGCCCTGCCTCTCTGGACAGAGGTGGGCTTGCCCGAACATGAGGCCTGTCTGTCAGAGCCGGGGGACCGAGCTCAGGGCTCCCTGAACCTGAGCACTTGGGACCAAGCCCACTTGCTGGAACAAGGCCACTGCATGGTCACCATTGAGCCAGGGCTCGACACGCCCGTGCGGCTCAGCCACAGACCTCCCGAGCTTCCCGGTGCCGTGTCCCCAGCAGCCCCCATCCTGGGGCCTTGCCCTGGAGCAGGAGCAGCTCTGAGGCTGAGCTGGCTGCGGGCAAAGTAACCCCCAAGGCAAGGTCTGGGTGAAAAGACTACTCAGGGCCAGGGCAGAGTTTGGGGACAAGCTGCCCTGGCCCTGGCCCTGCCAGGCGGTCAGCGGGTAGGCAGCTGGAGGCCAGGTCTCTGCCTGGCAGGCCTCTGCACCTGCGGGGCCCGGCTGGATGCACTCTCTGCCAGGTGCTGCCCTGCCAGCCCAGTGCCCACAGCAGCACACCGAAGCACATGGCCCCGAAGGCTGTGGGAGGCTGCGCACCAACAAACATCACCGCTTTCTCAGAGAGCAAACAATTACACAACGCCAAAGGCCATGATTGGCTCCCCTTCAAAACCTCACCTTCAAAACCATACTCTGATTGGCCACTTCCCATAGCAAATTAGTGAGCTTAGAATCCCTCAGATTTGCTTATCCAGCACCTCATGATTGGTCCACAAAAGCAACCAATCATAACCCATCTTTTACAATCCTTCATTCAACCAATCACTGCCCACCAACATGTATATAACCACGATCCCTGGCCCACAATCGCCAGATGACCCTGAAGACCCTGAAGAGTTGTGACACCTTGGGAACCAGCAGTTAGCGTAATGGCTATGTCGCTGGACTCCCACGTAGTCGACCGCAGTTCGCATCCCGGACCCAGTGGCTTAAAACTCACGCCAGGCGCGTGTGCGTGTGTGCCCAAGATCCCGACGGGAGAATGGAGGAGAAGGGATTGCGGCGTGACCATCCCCCCTGGGGGGTGATTTCTCGCTTTCTGTCTCTATGTCTCTGTCTGTCTGGGGAGCGCACGCGCCCTATAGCGAAAACCTCTCCAAAAAAAAAAAAAGAGTTGTGACACCTTGTCGTCTCCAAGGACGAACCTGAAGAGTTGTAACACTGCGTTGTTAGTCCCGTCTCTCACCCCTTCCCTCAGGAAACCTGTTTAACTGTTCCCTGGGTCGGGACACAGTGTGGCAGCTCCAAGGGACCACCAGGCTGAGCCCAGGACAGGACAGGCTCCTGCAGCAAGGGCAGACCTCTTCCAAGTCTTAGAGCCAGGGTGCAGGCATTTGGGACCCCAGGGCAGGACCCTCTGAACTCATTCTCGGGCCTCACAGGCAGGCTGGGCCTCCCCCTCGGCAGGGCCAGCCACGTCCCATGTGGCCAGCAGTGGTGGAGTCAGGCAGTGGCTTCCATGGGGAGTGGCACTGCAGATCCTAGTCCTCATGCCCGGCCGTGATCCCTGGGGCAAAGGGGACCTCTCCCCTCCTGGCCCACGCACTGCCCTCAGGATCAGGCCACTTACCTGCTTCCGTGCAAATAAGTCTCTCACCAAGGAGCCCATATCTGCAGGGGGTCTCTGGCGGCACAGAGATGGGAGGTGATGGGGTGGCCCAGCATGCGCTCCGCATAGCGCACCCAGCCTGGGGAGAGAGCTGTCTGTCAGCCCACCACCTCTGGCCTCCAGGCAGTCGGCTCAGTGCGCCCGGCCGGGCCGCCCCGGGGGAGGGAAGCTGAGGCACTGGGCACCGCCCACCCAAACAATCAGCCCTTCAGACCACAGGTGCTACCTGTGCACACCGGACATGCAGCCAGAGTGCCGCAGGGAGGGCGGCTGCCTGCTCCGGCCTCCCCGCTGAACGCCTTGTCCCGTGCAGGAGATGGGCCTCCTTAAAGACAGAAAACCACCCCTCGGAAAGGGCCCTGGGGGCCCAAGACCACACCCTCCACCCACCTGCCCAGACAGCCCTCCCATAGCACAGGGCAGCCAGCAGTGTGCCCCAGGCACACAGGTGTGTAAGCGGCCCTGTGCTGGGGGGAAGGCCCTGCAGGCCTCAGGAAGGGCCATGGAGGGAGACTGGGCCCAAGGAGGCTCCCGGCAGCTGTGGCGAAAGACAAGGGGCCAGAGGAGCCCGGACCTTGGGCCCACGAGCACCTCACCCTGGAAGCACGTCGCAGGCCATCTCTGCTCAGGGTCTCGCTGTGCGCACCGGCCATGGGCGGACACCGGGCCCGGGCCCTACTGGGGCCGCCAGCTCCCTGGAGGCCCAGCCCGTGAGGGGACAGGACCCGGCGGGCACGAGCAGCAGCGTGGGGAGCACACGCTGGCGCGAGGGCCAGTCTCTCTGGACAAGGGTACTTGTGCCCTGAGCTGAAGAGCTGCACCCCAGGTGCCGGCGAGCCAGCGCTGCTCTGCTCTAGGTGGGGCAGGGGACAACCATGGGGCTCTGGAGCTCTGCGAGGCCCAAAGGCTGTGTCCGGCGTCGGGCCGCTTGCACCTCTCCCCTCCTCCTGATGGGTGCGAGGGACCCCAGCAGGGTGGCACCCCACCAGCTCCTGGTAATGAGGAGCCCGTGTCAGAAGGCTCCAGGCTGCCGGTTCCAGGCCGGGCGGGGCACGCTACCCTCCAGGGTAGGAGGGACCCCATTCTAAGCCCCATGTGTCAGTGAGGGCCCTGGCCCACTGTGGCTGCCATTTCCAAGGAGCCAGGTCATCGCCCCGGCCACACCCTACGTGCCAGGAGAAGTCAGCGCACACTGCTGCGTGTTCACTTCCCGACACGGTCCACGTGGGCGTCCAGCTGTTGCCAAGTCACCTCCCGAGCTGAGACAGGTACAGCCCCGCAGAGACGGCCCTGCCGAGCCTGGCTAACTACGAAGACGCCCCCAGCAGCCCCAGGCCAACAGGGCTACATGCAGCTTGTTGCAGAGAAGATGGTTAAAGGGGAGGTGTGTTCTGGTCACACCACCCCTCTGCAGTCACCCCACAATCCCTCCTCCTGTCTCTTCCTTGGGATTTTGGGCACACACATGCACCAGGCTCGCTTCTCATTCTGCCAGGGCTGGGGTTCCATGTGGGATTTGGCGCCCACAGCCACTAGGCTCCGGGTCCGCCCAGAACCCGCGGCCCACCCACGTAACTGGCACTGCGGGTGTGGGGATAACGCGGCCATGGGTGAGCAGGAGCCGGGGGCCACGGCCCGTGCAGGGAGCGCCATGGTGCCTCCTGGCCGATGAACAAAACACGAAGGAGGGCCACGTCTGGTGCCCACGGCCCAGCCTGAGTCCACGCGCACAGCCGCAGTCTACGTGAGATCTCCGGTAAACACGCATGGCCGCCCCACACACGCCACCCACCTCGATCAAGTCACTAGCACCTGCCGTCTGCACTGCGGGTGAGTCCCCACCTCGGTTTATAGACGGGGGAAGGAGCCCCAAGGTCTAAGCCCCATGTCCCAGCCCTAGTGACCGAGGGCGACGGTAACATGCGAGAGGAACCGAGCCTGGGCGGGGAGGGGGACAGACTGACAAGCAGAGAGGGGACAGCCCTGGGGCTGACGCGGGTGTGGTGGTGAGGGCGCCGGGCTCCCACATCCTCACATCCTACATGGCTGACCGCGGTTCAAGTCCCAGATGCGGCAGCTTGAGGATCACGCCAGGCATGTGTGCTTACATACGTGCCCAAAATCCCGAGAAGAGAAAGGACTGAGGTGTGGCCGCCCCGCTGGAGGGGTGATGTGTCCCTTCCCCTCTTCTGTCTCCCTGCAGTGAAGGCCCCTGGCCCTCGCTCAGGGCGGGCTGACCCACCGCCTGCCTGCAGCAGTCCCTGCCTCCTTTCCGCCCACCAGCTCCAGCCGTCCCGGAGCCGAGCGTCCGCAGCGGGAAGGTCGGCCGCTCTGCCCCAGCTCCCGGAGAACGGTGTCAAGGGCGTCACCAGAGGCGGCCTGACCTGCGGCTGCTTTAAGTCTGCCTTTCTACACCGAAGTGCACCCGCGCGCGTGCAGCGCACCCCCTCCGGGTCTCAGGCGTGCAGGAGGGTTTCAGGCTGAGTCGGGACCCAGGCCCCGGAGGGCCCTGTGGCTCCCAGCACCGACCAGGCAGGGCCTTCCCGAACTCCTGCTCCCCAAGAGTCGTGCCAGCGTTTACCGTGGCCGTGGGGGCTTTGCCGGCCGTTGCGGCGGACAGCGACGGGGCATAGTGGGACTCTGAGACCGCGGTCCGGCCCACCCCACGGCCCACCGTCCTACACTCGCCTCTCGCATTGCCGCCCGCGTCCGCCGCCATCGCTGTGCCGCCTCGCGTCACATAGACGGGGAGGCGCAGTGCGCATGCGCGGACCGGTGGCGCTGCACCACGTGGAACTGGGTGGGGAGCGCGAGGCTCGATTTTAGACGGAAGGTTTCTGACGTTTGTGCTCATTTCCTGTAGGTCGTCTTGCCCTGTTTCAACTGGGGCCCTTATACTTTGCAAAGCAAAGAGTAATTACTGTTTCTTCAAGAAATTAGTATTTTAAAAAAAAGATTATTGGGGACCAGCAGTTAGCGTAATGGCTG